TATATACACATGTAATTGCAGATAACTATACAACTATACGACGTGTGGCAATAGACGGCCGTCTGTCTCCATGACGAGATGAGCAGCGATCCGGAATCAAAAGGAAAGAGTCGTAGAAAGCAAGATCAAGTGAAACGCAAAAAACGATCGAGACAGACGCGTACTATCGGGTGGAGGCGCACTTTTGGTGAACCCTGTTGAATCCCCGTTGAGTAAACATCTCCATGAAACTACTATGCAGTGGCACCAGTTTCGTGACAATGACGCTTTCCAACAAAGATGATGACAGACAGACAGCCAGACGAGTGCCGTCGTGGCACTGCTTAACAACGCCACGACCCGCGTTTTCGTTACTCGTTATCGACAGGGACGCCGTCTGAGCGCGCGCCATCATTTCTGTATGTGTGTGTGTGCGTGTGTGTGTGTGTGTGGGTGCGTGTGAGCGTGTGTGTGAGCGTGTGTGTGTGAGCGTGTGTATATGGTGGGTGGATGGCCCTCAGATCAGCCAACAACAGATCCGCACCGAGTTGCTCTTGTCGTGTGTAACAATGCATCGTTTCCGTGAGTTTAGCCACTCTGTCACCTTGTTCGTCATATCGTGCGTGTCCTGTATCTGTGTCCTGTATACATGGCCAACACTTCTTTACCTATTGCACTCTACTGCTGCGACCTTGAGCCTACCACTGCTAGTCGTTAATCGCCATGTCATTAGCCGTCTGTTGCTACCGTCGCCCCACCTGCCGGCGATATTTTTACCCTTCATTCTGATTGTGCAGAGATTTACATCGACGATGAGAACGGCGGGGACTCGGCGGTGGAGACAGGTGGCGCTTGGAATTAGCGGATGGCGGAGATTGAGGGACAAAACAAACAAAAAAGATTGAATTGGAGACAATTTTCGCAATATCGCATCGTGTATCAACAACATACGCTGCACGTTGAACGCCGCAGTGTTGTAGAGAACGCATCGTCACAGCAGCTTAATCTGCATAGCGTAGAAGTGTTGTGCTCGTCCAGTGCTTCGGGGTTGATTGTTATCGATATTATCTATGCGCGAGCTTCGCGCAGACTCACGGTGGCGGCGATACGATGGCGGTAGAAGTTGTGCGAAGGAAACAGCTGCTCGAGCAGGGGAAACATAACTACTAGTTAAGATGATGTGAACCACCGGAGCGAACGTTATCACGCTTAAAATTTGCAAAGTCAGCCAAGCAAGTTAAATGATTAAATGAGAGATGGCTCTCAATGATTGTTCGGGACTGTTGTTGTGACCTGGGCACTTGTGTTCTTTTGTCTCTGTGCGTATGTATATCTTGTATTACAGGTAATTAGAGGAGATAGAAACATCAGCGAAAGCGTTCAACGATAAGCGAAAAAAACAGAAACACTTGCAAAAATCGGTCGAAGTTGCCGAACGACGCGCTATTACGAGCAGCAGAACGACAGCTGCCCGTTAAGCAGCGTCCGCTGTATAGAGAGCGCTAAGGATCGAATAGTGCTAAGCCGCAAAATGAGCATGCGAGTATGGCCGACGGGGCCGCTGCCGCTGTAGTTACCATCGTCGAATTACTCTCTACAAAAATCACCGCTATT